TTAATTTGGAGAGATTTGAAAAGTGAGCTTCAGACATCACACCTTGCAATGAATTTCCACCGACAAACAATTCCTCGAGCTGAGATAGGCTTCCAATACTTTGAGAAACATTCCCATCTAATCGATTGTTTTCAATCCACAACTCTCTCAATGATGAAAGCATCGTAACATCCGTGAGTGATCCAGTGAGTTGGTTGTCATTCAAGTGCAAGGAAACAAGTTCAGAACGTTGACTAAATCGTTGCGGTAAAGATCCATTCAGTTGATTCCAAGAGAGATCAAGCTCTCTCAAGGAGGTGAATCTTGTGATGTCAGGCACTGAACCATGAAGTTGATTTCCATATAGATCTAGAATCTCTAGTGAGCTCTCCACGCATCCATGCGCGTCTTGAAACAGCTGAGACAGCTCTCCAGTGAGATTGTTTCCGCTTATATACAGTTCATTTAAATTGCACATCTGCCGAAATGAACTCAAATCTCCTTGTAATTGGTTAGAGGAAAGATCAAGAGTCCTGAGAGAAGTCATGTTTGCGAAAGCTTCTCGGATTGAGCCCTGTAATTCGTTATTTGAGAGGTGAAGATCAACAAGGCTGTTACTAAAGTTGGCCATCCAATTGAATGTTGAAGAAGCAATACGGTTGTAAGAGAGATCAATGACAGCTAGGGATTTAGAAGAATTTGTAGAAGAAAGAGAGGGAGGACTGCTACTTGAAAGATCACATTCACTTAACTGTAAGACTTCTAAAAAAGGGACCTTGTTAACCATTTCCATCCAGTCAGTAGCTTGACTGAGGTTGTCTCCACTCAAGTCAAGATATTTAAGAGAAAAAAGATTAGAGAGGAAGTCAATACTTTTAAAATTAACATCATTATTACCACTAAGATCAAGATACGGTAATCTTGAGAGATTCCAAAGCTGATTTGAGAGAGTTCCAGTAACATCAATTGAGGAGAGATCAAGGTATCTTAGATTTTTCAGGGACCCAATAAAATATGGAAAATTATTCCCTTGAAAATTGCCTCCACTTAGATTCAGGTAACTCAAATACTGCAATTCCAGTAATGAATTACTAATCTTACCACTTAAATATTGGTCGTAATTCTCCCGGTGAAGATCAAGACGAGTAGCATGACCAGTTCGATTGTTGCATCCAACTCCTCTCCATTTGCAGCAATCCCTCTTCTCTTCTTCACTTCCCCAAGTTGAAAGAATACCAAAGTCATCAATAAGGTCTTCTTTAAACTTGAGAAGGGCTTGTCTCTCCCTCTCTATGCACCCGAAAGTTGCCCCTTTCACTCCAGAAATGAACCCAGGAGCAAGTTTCATGAGCAATAGAAGCACAATAAGCACGTAAAGAAGATGAAACGACTTGTCGTGCTTTATCAGCAGCATGATCACAAAAAAAAGATAATATCGAAGCGGGTATGGAAGTAATAATTGAGAGCAATGAGAATTTGGCGGGTAATTGAACTTTGAATCCATTAACTCCACAACTTCCCTATATATAATATCAAAAACACTATAAGAAAATTTAAAATTAAGTCATTAATTATACAAGTCAACATCGATGGATATAATTTCTTTTATTTTTATTATTTTATAAAACTTAAAGTGTAACTAATAATACTTCCATAAACACAAAGGAAAGAGAGATAATAAAAAAAAATCAAACTTTTTTTTAATTCTCACTCTTTTGTCATATCTCTCATGTATTATTACAAGTAGTGGAATAATTTAAATATTATAGCAGAAAAATAAAATAAAATAAAAAAATAAGATTTCTTGACGAAATCAGAAAAAGGATTAAAAAGTTGAGGGAGCCAGAATAAAAAAAAGATCATGGGTATTGATTTGAGTGTTGATGAAACGTAGAAGATGCTACCGTGTTCTACAAATCTCCTTTAGCTTATTAGTAATTATAGAAAAAATTATTGTTTTTATTTTTGTTTAATTTAAATACATATTTTTTATTTATAAAATTTTTATTTTTTCTATTTAATTAATTTATAAATTATAAATAATTGGGTCCAAGCCCAGAGCACGGACAATATACAATATACATGTCTACAGAAGATCAGCACTTCCATGTGAAGTGCTGCAAGCCTTCTCAATGGAAATTATTTAGAGCTTCAGTCTTGATCAAAGTCATCAATAGCCCACGCGTTTACTCATTCCTTTTCCATGTGTTTCTGTGGTGTAAAAGTATTTTAGAAAAAAAAATTGAATTTTTTTTAATTTATTTATTTATATGTTTTTAGACCATTTTAATATATTAATATAAAAAACTTTATGCATATAAATAAATTAGAAAACTCTAATGGCTAGCGTGGTCTGTAGCATGAACCTCATAGAGAATCTACTGATACAATGTATACACAAAAACCATTTACTGTTTCTCTAAATTTCTTTCGACATTTACTTGTGGGAAAAGACTTCCAAGTCATCCGTGTGTTTAAAAGAATGTCTTCCTGAATGGAAATTATTAAGATTATGAAACGACTTGTCATGCTTTATCAGCAGCATGATCACAAAAAAAAATAAAAATAATAATAATAATATCCAAGTGGGTATGGAAGTAGTAATCGAGAGCAATGAGAATTTGATGGGCAATTTAACTTAATTTTTTAAGAAAATATTTTTAAAATATAAAAACAAATATATTTAAATAAATTTTAGGAAAACAGTAAATAATTTTTGCCTATAAAGTTAAGGCTATAGACCACATAATAAGATAAATAAGACATCTGAACCATTAAAATTATTTTTTCAACGTGGCATCTTCTGAAACACACTGGTGATCCATTCACTTCACAACTTCCCTATATATAATATTAAAAATACTGTAAAAAAATTTAAAATTAAGTCATTAATTATATAAGTCAAGGTCGATGGCTATAGTGTCTTTATTTATTTATTTAATAATACTTCCATATAAGCACAAAGGAAAGAGAGAATATCAATAAGAGAATTCTAAATTCTTTTTTTTTTTTAATTCTCACTCTTCTGTCTCTATTATTTGTGTATATCTCTTATGTATTACAAGTAGTGGTATAATTTAAACATCTTAGCAGAAAAATAAAATAAAAAATAAGATTTATTGACCAAAACAGAGAAAGAATTGAAAACTTTTAAGTCATCATTGTGTTTAAGAAGATGCCTCAACTTGTATAATGCCTCAGCTTCCGAGTCATTCCTATCGACATCAAAGAATATCGTCAATTGAGATTAATTGGTATTGTTATTTTTAAAAATATATTAAAATAATTTATATTTTATTTTTTATTTTTTACATTATCGTATTAAAATAATTTAAAAATATTTAAAAAATTAATTAAAAATATTCAAAAAATAAAATCTAATTTAATTTTTTTCTAAAACACCTTCAAATCACAAAAACAAACAATACTAAAAAATAAATTAAGATGAGTTGTATTGTAGCCGTTAATGACCACTACAAAAGCAATTTAAAGTGTTTCGCAGTTGGAAACAACAGGCACAACAAATGCAATTAAAAAGAAACAAATCTAATTAATAGATTCAGCTTCCACAGAAAATGAGTTAAAAAAAGACCACAATGACTATGAGTTATTGGAAGAGGATGTCCGCCAAAGAAAGGAAGGAGAAAAGGTGAGCAAGTAGAGTTGCACTGTGGCCATTAACGACTTCTATACAAATAGAAAGAAAGCCGGGCAAGAAAAATCAAGAAATCGGTTTAGCTTCAGTGGAAAATGAATTAAAAAAGACTGATATGACTCTAATGTCTCTCCCCCATAACATAAGTTGATGTGGAAGAGAATCTACCAAAGAAAGGAATGAGAAGTGCGGGTCAAGTGGAGTTGCACTGTAGACATCAACGACTGCTTTAAAAGCAATTTGAAGGACAATTATAAAGAAACGAAGTGGGGCAAGAAAAATGAAGAAATATATTCAGCTTCCATGGAAAATGAATTAAAAAAAGACCAAAGGTGACTGTAATTTCTTTGAGAACACAAGTTGATGTGGAAAATGAATTAAAAAAAGAGACCAAAATGACAATGAGTTGAACAAACATATGTTGACTTGAAAGAGAACGTCAGTCCAAGAAAGGAATGAGAAAACGTATGGGCTATTGAAGACTCTGACCAAGACCTGAAGAGCTCTTAATTTCCATAATTCAGGAAGACATGCGCTGCACATGGATGTGCTGATCTTCTAAGATGTCGATGGTTTGGACTCAGAAGCTGAGGCATCTTCTTTGTTAAGAAACTGTCTCGTCTATTTATGCTTCTAAAACAAGTTCTTAAAAGTGATTATGAATCCATGATTACTATTCTCATGGTCCTTTAGTCTTCTTTTTTTTTAATATTTTTTAATTAATATTATAATTCTTTAACTTATCTCTGTAATTAAATTTATCATCACTAAGTGATGAGTCAATTTTAAAACTTGTCTTTGTATGTCTTCCATCATCAATTCTTGAACGTCTTTTCCAGAGAGAACATTCTACTCCCTTCCTACAGAGTACATCCTATTCTATGATATCTTTTATCAATGACTATTCAACACATCAAAACTCTAATTTAAAATTTTATTATTTAATATTTTTTTAGATAATCTAAGCTAAACAATATTATTTATATAGTCTTGTAACTACATTAAATAAGAAAGAACGAAATTTTTAATTAAATAGGAAAAAAATAAAAATACTATAAATAAAAAAAATTTCTAAACTAAACTAAATGGTCTCGGAAACCAATATTTTAAAAAAAACCTTCTAGCATCTTTTAAAAAAATTAATTATAACAAAAACTAAATGGTCCGGGAAATCACTATAAATTAAAAGATTTTTTATTTTAGATTGTAATAGTAGTTTCACTTTTAATTTTTTATCTTTTTACGAGATGTTTTTTTGACTTTTTTTCCCTTCTCAATCATTGTTTTTTCTTTATCACTTTAGCGTCTTGAGTCTGGCTTGGTTACTCCAACCATACCAGAAACATTATGGATTTGACAACTATTCAAGATTCAAGAGTTGTTTTTATACATATTCTTTTCTAAAAAGAAACTGATATCCAAATTTTAAAATTAAAAACATGTTATGTTCATCTTTAGCAATTTCAATGATATTTTTTTTAGGTTTTAAATGTGAACATCTTTGATAAATCTTTTATTTTTAGGCACGGATGTAATTTTTTAATGTATCCAAAGGTTAACACTAATTTTTTTACAAAATAATTAGAAATTAAAAATAAAAAAACTTAAAAAATTAGGATAATTAATTGTAATTACAAACATAAATTAAAAAAAAGCATATTATAAAAATAACCTTTTTTATAAAAAAAATGTTATAGAGCAACATCTTTTTTATTTTAATATAATTAACCTCTTATCTGTGGTTATTTTATAAAAAAAATGTTATAGAGCAACATCTTTTTTATTTTAATATAATTAACCTCTTATCTGTGGTTATTTTATAAAAAAAATGTTATAGAGCAACATCTTTTAAAAAAAAGCATATTATAAAAATAACCTTTCCTATAAACAAAATGTTATAGAGCAACTATAAAAAATTGTTATAAAGCAACATCATTTTTTTTAAATATAATTAACCTCTTATCTAAATCCCTTGAATGAATATATATTTTAAAATATTTAATTTTTTAATTACTAATTATTAAATCTAATTTTTCATAATATATTTTTTTTCTCAGCCGACATCTACGGAGATACAAGAGTAATTGTTCGTAGTTACTCTTAAAATAATAAAATAAATAAATAATTTAATCTATTCTTAAATAATTAGTCGAGTCTCCACTATGCCTATTCGTTCCTAATTGTGTATAGTATATATCTTGCATAATATCCAAGTGTTCAATGTATCATTCTATCAAGTTTTATAATGAAATTGATATAATTATCTATATTAAAAACAAAACCAAGTCACGAGGGAAGTTTTTATAGTTAGCATGTGGACAAGTACGTTTTACTAGCATGCCATGTAGACTTTCGTGTAATTTTTAATTTTTTCAATATATATAAAGTTTTTAATGTATTCTTAGGAGAAATAAATTAATGAATTGTATCAAAATATTTGTTGTTAATATAAATTAAATTAAATGTCATGTTATAAGCTTTAAATCAAATTAAGATATACATAGCATATTGTTTACAAAGTATAACAATCATTAAAACTTTATGTTAGAATTTGTAATAAATAGGTTCTGGCCGGCCCAACTGGCCATTAAAAATCAGGCCAGGCAGAAGGACTTGATGATAAAGGTCAGCACAAACATGGGTATTTTTTTTTTAAAATGAATAGACAATACACACTTACTCATTCTCTCAAAACACTTAAAAAATATTTAAAAAATACTCTATAAATCTTAATAAAATCAAATCTAAAATGTTTAATGTTCAAAAAATTAAAATTTCTCAATGTTTAAAAAACAAACCTGGGGCCCTATCTATTCTTTATGACAAGATAAGTAAAAAATATTTCAATTGAAATTTTCTAGTAAAATAAAGCCATTAATACCAAAAATAATGTTTTCGGTCATCGAAAAGTGGCCAACTAGCAAAATTTCACTATTCTTTTATTTTCCAACATCTTTCTCTAACTCGAAATCTGAAATGCGAATAAAAATAATAATTTTTGAAGTAAAATATAAAAGCCATAGAAGAAAGGGATAAAAGTTGCAAACATTAAAGCTTGAGGGCCCAAAATACTTCAAAACATGCCTTAGCTACAATGGGAAACAAAAAAAAACGAGGCTGAATTTTTGTTTTAATGTCAATTTTGATACCCAAATTGAGCGTCATCTTAATTTTAAAATAAAGTTAATTAAAATAAATTATTAAATCTAATTCCATATAAATTTGATATGGAAAGATCTAAATGCAAAACAAATTAAGTGACTGAAAATATTTAAATGACTAAAACAAAGAAGAAAGCAATATGTGAATGCACCATTGTTCTTCTCACAATGTACAGGAATTCATTATCCCTTTTAATTTTTTTTAAT